CAGCATCCAGCATCTACAGCATCCAACATCTGCAGCATCCAACATCTACAGCATCCAACATCTGCAGCATCCAACATCTGCAACATCCAACATCTGCAGCATCCAACATCTGCAGCATCCAACATCTGCAACATCCAACATCTGCAGCATCCAACATCTGTAGCATCCAACATCTGCAACATCCAACATCTGCAGCATCCAACATCTGCAGCATCCAACATCTGCAGGGTTCTTGTAGGAGCGTTCATGTAGATGATGTCACCGTAATCAATGGAGGGAAGGAAAGTCACAGATACAAGGTGTTCCTCAGGGTTCAGGGTTAGACAGGATCTGTTTCTGAAAAACAAACCCAGTTTAACTTTCAGTTTCTTTATCAAGTTTTCCACGTGGAGCTTAAAAGAGAGATGTGAGTCGACCAATTTACCCAAATATTTATAGGAACCAACAAACTCAATACGAGCACATAGCATCTTTATTTATAGACTTTAAACACAGGTCCAAAGTGCTGCATCATAAAACAATCAGAAAATGAAAAGTGATTAAAGGTGAACGTGTCAAAGGTCACGGAGAAGAGATGGTTTTAAGTGTAGGAGTTGTGTCCTGCCTTCTTCCTTCCTCCACTCAGGACACTATCTGGCAGCAGCTGCAGCTCTTCAGCTCTTCATGCAGGAGGAGTAGAAGAAGCCACAGAGAGCAGGCAGCAGGCGCTGGGACACCCACCACCAACCGTAGAGTTGTTGCAGCCGCTCCGTCTCTAGGAACCTATGGTTATTAATGCCTCGTGGTCCCAGAGTTCACCTGCCGTCCTACCACTCTGCTGTGAAAACCTTTGAGGTTCTCATGCTGCTGCATTCCTTCAGCTGCTCGTTGCCACCACCACTCTCCTGCCTGCTCAGGATGACTCTGCTCTGGACATTGTTCCGTACCTTCTCTCTGCTCCAACCTCGACCATCTCCAGTAAGAGAAACCTTCACCAGAGTTCTACCAAGATCCTCCAGACTATCTACTCACTGCTCCCTCTGCCCCACAGGAGAACCAGCACCTTCACATGGCGTCACTTTAATATTCCACTCAGTAAATCAACACTGTAACTTGGTCTTTGGTCCTGGTCTCTGTCAGTCCTTTCATTCTGGGTGCACCCGTTGATTTAACGTCAAGAAGGGATTTAAAAACACACGCAACCGTTTGATGCTCATGACATCTGCATGAATATTGAAATCTCCCATTATTATGATTTTATCAATATTTAATAGTAAATCAGTAAATAGTTCTGAGAGTTCAGACAAACTGAGCAAAGAGCCTGGTGGACGATGGACTGAGAGAAGATTCTCAACTAACTGGTTCGATAATCGCATCTAATGACTGGTTTGATATTGATCAATAATCACAAATAACTGGTTTGATATTGATCAATAATCACAAATAA